ACAGGTATAGCTAGTATTTGGAAGCAGTGCAAAGGATGGAAAACGGGAGATAAATGTTAGGATCAACTGTGCAGATATCCAGAGGAAACATGCTGTAGCTAAGTTCCCAAAACAGGAGCACTCAGAATCACAGCTTGCTTTTGGAAGCTCTTGTCTTGTGTGAATCTCACATCCAGCTCATCCCCATAACTGTTTTTTAATTCTGGAAAGCTCACAAAGCTCACTAAAAGACCTGTTGAGTTTTGGTTGCCCTGATTTTGGATTCACTAAATCCAGCTCAGGCCATCTTCAGTGGCCTTCCCAAATCTGGTGCTGGATGTTTGCATGTGGCTCAGGCACAAAGACAACCAAAATCATTGGCTGCTTGTGAATGTTTTGATCTGTGGAGGATGGAACCTGGAGGAACTGGGATAACACTACTAATCTTCCCAGTATATGAGGAAGAAGCAATGTCTTCCCAGTGTGCTTTCTGTTGTGTGCCCAAGCAGAGAGGGTCAACAAAAAATAATCCCTCCAAGAGAACCCTAGTTGGGTAGGAAAACCTAGGAAGTCCTTAGCAGGTGTCCATCCACCCTGTGCCACCTGCACTGGCTGATGGGAGGCAAATGTTTAATTTTTGAATTTTTTAGGATTAATAGGATAGGTTTAATTTTTTAGGATCGTTTATGAATAGAGGTGGCAGAGTATCTCTGCTGAGACCAGGATTCTTGAGCAAGCAGAGGGAAACCTCTCAGGCTCTTCACTGCTCATCCCTGTTCCTTCTCAGGTACACCTCAGACATGAAGTTGGATGTAGGCAAACGTGTTTCATTCAGGCTCAGCATCTCCAGGGACTACACGCTATTGCTGAAGCTGTGCATGGGTATCCCTTCAGGGGATGCTCCAGTGAGAGCATTTTTTGAGACTTAGTATCTCCCTGAGCTTTTATGAAACTTAATACCTAGCTGCCAGTTAAAGTGGGCAGAAAAGCCACCAGTTTTAAGGCAAGGCTCCTGCATTCATTCCTGCTGTGGGAGTGAAAGTCAAGTGCCAAGGACCTGTGTGACCAGGGAGCTTCAGGGGACCAGGCATTGCAGGGATATGTGCCCATCTGCTGGGGGTTTGCTCCCTGCACAGTCCCTTTAGGCAATCCCAGAGCTGGTTAGACTTGAACTGCAGGGCCGCTGTCCCCGTCCCTCACGCTGTGCCTGGCGTTGTTGCAGGAGCGTGGCCTGCACCGTGGTGGAGATGTTAACGGAGAAGCCGCCCTGGGCAGAGTTCGAGGCCATGGCAGCGATTTTTAAAATCGCCACGCAGCCGACCAACCCCCAGCTCCCCGACGGCGTCTCCAGCTCCTGCCGCAACTTCCTCAAGCAGATCTTCGTGGAGGAGAAGCGGAGGCCGACGGCCGAGGACCTGCTGAGACACCCTTTTGTCAACTGCGGGCTCTGAGCCCTGGCACGGGGATGGGAAGCGCCGGCGGGAGGGTCGGACCTCGCCCGGGGCTGTCCTGACAGTCCCTCCTCGCTCGCTGCTGCCCCGGCCCCGCCGCGCTGTGGGATTTTCAAGCTGCGCTCGGGACTGTTGGAATCCAGAGCGAGGGATTTCCCAGCCCGTGTGGGTGCTGGACCACGGAACCTCCCTGCTGCCAGCAGTACCGGGGTCGTCCCCCCTCGCCAAGGAACTGCTCCCTTGGGGAGAGCGTGGCAAGTGGGAAATGTCCCCCAGCACGGCAGCGGTGCTGGCGGCATCCCCGGGACCGGTGGGGGAATCGGCTGCTCGGTGGCCATCACCGCCTTTCGCAGAGGAACAGACAGGGCCTTCAGCCAAGCCGGAGGAGATGATCCTCAGACCGCAGAGTCGGGGGGACCTGGGCGTCCCCGTTCACAAGGGGACCAAGCCCGCTGGAGCAGTGGCGGCTCCGGCGGGGCGGCGTTTCACACTGTCCTGTGCCTTACGCGGTTGCAATCAAGGAGTGATGCTCGGCTCGGATCTGGTGTGAGGATGCAGCAGCCGTGTTGACTTTGCCTTGGCGCGTGTGTGTGTGCGTGTGTGAGTCTGGGAACAAGGGGGTCTTCTCGGGGTGCAGGAGGTCTCTGCTGGGTGCACCCGCGGACGGATGCCCGGGACCCCTGCCACGGGCTGAGGGATGGTTAAGTGATGATGGTGGTGGTGAGCCGGGCTGAGCAGCAGCCAGGTTGTGCTGGGAGCCATCAGGATTCAGGTGGGAGCTGAAGGGAATCTCAACAAGGATGGCTTCTCTCATAGCCACAGTTCTGCAGAGCTGGGGCTGGAGGGATGCCATCGTGTTCTGGAAATGGAGCTGCAGGGAGAGCCCAGTGGATCTCTGTAATACCCAAGAGAGTGCCTGTGAATCTGGGTACCTCCTCCTCTCTGCCTTGTGAACCATCTCCACGTACAGGGAAGGGGAGCATCACTTCCATGGTGCTGTCCAAGGGAGCAGCTGCAGGACAGTGGAGCCTCAGACTGGGAAAGTGGAGCTGCAGCAGTTGATGGCAGCTGGAAGCAGATTCCTTCCTGCAGTAGGTTTGAAGTTATATGAGAAAATGGGCCAGTCAAAAGCAGAGCTGGGCTACAGCCTCTGACAAGTGCTACCCCGCTGGAAAAACTGGGCAGGAGGCACGCATGGAGTGCCCAGACGCTCGTTAATTAATTAATCAATCAGATCTTGGGGTGTTTGGGATAAATTATTTGCACCATCCCACCTCCCCCTTCTCTACCTGTTTCCACTAACTCAGCAAAGAGTTCAAAAAGCAGTTACCAGGAGGTTCCATCCTTCGGCCAGTGTGTCAGACACAGGTTTATTTTAATGCTGGTTTTCAGTGAAAATGACAAATGTTGCTTAGACTTAAGAGGAAAGTGACCAATTGGTTGTTTGTGTGAACATATCCTTGAATTCTTCCACGTGAAAGAGATCAAGCCTCTGCACTGCTGGCTGTGCTGGTGAGAGCATGTCCATATCCTCAGCTCTGAACAGAGAAGCAAGATTTAGGAGGTTGCCCAGTGTTGTTGTGGATGTCTCAGTTCTGGAAACGTTCAGGGTCAGGGGTGGATATGGCTTGGAGCAACCTGGTCTGGTAAAAAAGTATCCCTGCCCCATGGCAAGAGGCTGGAATGAGATGAGCTCTACGGTCTCTTCCAATCCAAACCATTCAAAGATTTTAAGATTTTAAGAATTATTTCGATTTTTAAAAAATAAACACTGTGAGTATTAGGGCAAATTAAAAGAAGCATCTAAAGGAATTGCCTGTAAATTTGTCTGAAAGCTTCCAAGGCCATTTATTGCCAGGCCAGGTTTCAGAGACGCTGGGGGCCAATGCTGGAGTAGCACCAGAAGTTGTGTCAGTCAGCCATGGGCAGCTCCCCACAGGGAGGGGGAAAAGTCTCCTTTGCTGAGGGGAATGAAGAATTATATTCTGTGAATAGGACCAAATCCATCAGTCTGGTCAGTAATATGGGATGGATGGAAACAAACATGAGAAAAAAAAATCAGTGTTGTCTGGGAACGGGTTTGGCAGAAGAGGGTAACAAAGTGTGTGTTCACCAAAGCTAAAAAAAGATTTCAAAACCATTTTTAAGCTGTTTTCTCTTTTTTCATTAAATCTTTTTGGTTTGGGTTTTCTCAGCCCTTCACTGGTGGGTGGGTGTTTTCCTTCTTTCCAAAGATTTGAGAGCCAGAGGGGGCTTCTGGCTGCCCCAAAATGCTCCCAGGGCCCTCAAACCACCTAAATCCTCCCGTGGATGGATGTGGCTCGTGTGAGTGTGAATGTGTGTGTGAATGTGAGACACTCCTCAGGTGCCTTTGCCTTTCTGGTTTGTAAAACCCTTGCAGTGTTCTGATGTACAGAATGGAACTAGGAAAAGCGAATTGAATTATTCTGCCATGTAAAGTATTTTTCTGTTTGTTTGGTTTGTTTTTATTTTATTTTGCCTGTAGTGGGCCCTGCGGCTTTCCCTGCGTGCTGCTGTGAAATTAATGGAGAAATTAATTCCTTTCGGGGGTGGGCTGGAGCAGGACACTGGAACAGGCTGTCCAGGAGAGTGGTGGAATCACCATCCCTGGAAGTGTTCAAAAGGCGTGGGGATGTGGCATTTGGGGATGTGGTTTGGTGGTGAACGTGGTTGGATTCGATCATCTCAGAGGTCTTTTCTAACCTTAATGATTCCATGAACCTGCATTTCTATTGCCTGTGCCCTGCTCACCAGTACAGCCCCTTCCCAACAGGGCAGTTCCCAGCATGGATGGGGGGCACAGGGGGGCACTTAGGGTGACCATTCCAGGGCCAGGGGGTGACAAAGATCTGTTGGTTCCTGGGATTTTCTGGAACAGATGGATTTGTGCAGCTCTCTGAGCCGATGGTCCTGCATGCCCCTTTGTCCTGACGCTCCACCTTGGACTCCCAATGCACAGGCTTTTGTGCTTCTAAACTTAATTGTCGTTTCTTTTAATTTATTTATTTTTATTTTAAAATTTTGAGTGTTTTTCTTTATTTCTATTTCATCTTCATTTTTTCACTCCTCCCCCATTTCCCCATTTTCTCTACCTTATTCCTGTCCCCTCCTTGTCCCCACTTTGTCCCTTTTCTTCTTCCCTTATTTTTTTACTCCCTGTCCCGCCTTTTCCCTTTCTTTTTTTCCCTTTTTTTTCCCTCTCCTTGTCTGCCCTTTTTCCCTTCTTTTTTTCCCTTATTTTGTTTCTCCTTGTACCCCCTTTTTTCCCTTTTTCCCTTTTTTTCCCTCTCCTTTTTCCCTTACTTTCCTTTTGTCCTTTTCTCCCCTCCTGTTTTTCTTGTTTTCCTTTCTTCCCTTTTCCCCTCCTGTTTTTCCGTTTTCCCCCCTTTATTTTGTATTTATCTTGGTTTTGTTGGCGTCGGACCGCGGTTTAGCCCCGGGGGCGTGACCATGCAAATGAAAGGGGCGTGTACATGCAAATGAGTCTGTCTCCATTGCCAAGTATGCTAATGAGGGGGCGGGGACAGGCAAAGTACGGGCCCGTGCAGTGACAAGATGGCGGCGGCGCGGCGGGCGCAGCTGGTGCTGGGGCACTTGGCCGGGGCCGCTCCGGGGCCGGGGGCCACCCCCAGGGCCGTGCCCTGTGCCGGGGGCCCGCCGCGGGCCAACAGCCCCGACGACGTGGTGGTGGTGCACGGCCGCAGGACCGCCATCGGCCGCGCCCGCCGCGGCGGCTTCAAGGTACGGGCCCGGGGAGGCTGCCCGCCTGTCCCCACAGGTGCTCGGCATCCCCTTGGGAAAGGGGTACCCCCTTCTTCGCCTGGGTGTTGGATCCCTGCATTGTGCCGAGCGGTCTCCAGCTCCCCTGGCAGCCCGGGCAGCAGTCACAGCCCGCTGTCACCTGCCCTGTCACACGGAGCAGCCGCGGCGTGTCCCTCACCTGCACAGCTCGTACGGACCTGATTCTCCCTGGGTGGCATCCATATAGTCCTGGGAAAGAACGCGGTGCCAGGACGACCCCAAAGGGTGCTCGTTCCTTGTCATCCTTCCAAATAGGTCTCCTCATGCTGGCGGTGCTTCCCACCAGCTGAGTGGTCACTCCTGTTTCACAAAATAAATGGAGTGGCTCCAGTTGCTGGGTCTTGTCACGTATCTGTGACTGTATCTCTGTAGCTGTGTGATTTTGAAGGCCCTGCAGAGCATATTCCTATAAATCCAAGGAAGGTGAGAAAGCAGCGTGTGTGTTACAGTGCCTGAAGGAAAGCTGGGGTAAAAACATCCAGGTAATTCTGCTGTGGTAGGAGAACAACAACCCCTGTGAGCTGAGAAGTGGAGTAAAGCTGCTTTAGCAGCACTGGCCAGCCTCTGATGCTGAACTGGTGACAGGGCACTTACTGGTGTTCACTGGTGGTGCTGATGCCTTGTGCTTTTAGGACACGACACCCGATGAGCTGCTGGCTGCTGTGATGACAGCTGTGCTTCAGGATGTCAACCTCCGTCCTGAGGTCCTGGGAGACATCTGTGTGGGTGAGTGAGTGAGTGACACCCCTGCCTGGTGAAACTCCTGGTCTGGACAGCTGTGGGGGACAGACTCCTCCTGTCCTGTGGGATACTCACAAGTCTTATGGGGCTGGAAGGGGTTAGTGTGTAACATTAGGTTTTCATGCCTGTCCTGTTGGTGGTGGGGCTCTGATCTGGTGGTGGGAACATCCCTTCAATGCCTATGAGAGGAATGCAGCCAATTAACTGGAATTGTGTCTTTGCACTCAGGGAATGTGCTGCAGCCTGGAGCTGGTGCCTTGATTGCAAGAGTTGCACAGTTTCTAAGGTAAGCTCTCAGCCAGACTGAGGTTCTTCTTCTCCTCCTTGGACCATGGAGTAGCACAGGGTCAGGGATTGCAGTGAGACTCATGCACTCCCAGGAGTTACAGCAAATCACCCTTTGCCTAGAAACTGGACTTTGATCAGTCACTCGGAGAATGCTGATGGCAAAGAGACAGGGAGGCAGGTGAAGCAGTTTAATCTGTTTGTGCTGCCTGTGTTGGGCCTCTGAAAGGGACATGATGTTTTGTGGGCTCTCAGCTGTACTCTCTGTGAGGCTGTACATCTCTCTGCTGTGTCTAGTCCAAAAACCATGGATGGGCTCAGATCTTTCTGTTATTGCCCAGTGCTGTCAATTGCTCCTACTGAGCTGGATCCCAGATTCCAAACATTTCAGTCAGTTTCTGTTGCCATTGTTTGCTTCTGTCAGTCACTGCACAACTACCACTTTAGAGAGGTTTAGGCACAGCCCGCCAAAATTATGAATATTACAGAGCTTTTCTGGGTTTCTGGCCTGGGTCAGAGCTCAGGATCTCCAGGAGAGGGCCTTGCTTACAGAGCACCTTCTGAAGACAGACCTATGGGGAGACAGCACTTGGAACCACTTGCAAATGAAGTGAGGAAATTATCTTTGAACTTTGCTTTTGCTTGGTGCAGGACCAAATAGATCAAGAAATGGATAAAGTGATCTGCCTGGAACTTGGGGGTTAAAGTTTAATCAAGTGGATTAATGCACTCTTTAGAGCTTTGGGTTGTTTTTGGTTTCTGTCACTGAGTCTTTGCCAACACTGTCTTGTTTTCCAGTGGTATTCCAGAGACGGTGCCGTGCTCCAGTGTGAACCGGCAGTGCTCCTCCGGGCTACAGGCCATTATCAACATAGCTGGTAGGTGTTGTGGGCACTGGCATCTGAGTCAATGCTTGTCCCACCCCAAGAGCTCGTTGCTCCTGTCCTCCAGTCTCTCTGAACAGTAAAACAGTGATCATGTCTTGTGCTGTAGGGAATTTTCAGTGTGGTGTTAGCTAAATGCTTCTATATCCTTGAGTGGCCGAGTTTATCCCTAGAGAAGTAACTTGGTTTTCTGGGGATAAGTTCCACTATCACCTCCATATCAGGCAGCTTCCAGTAGGGTCCCTCCAGTTCTCTCTGGCCCCATGTTAGTCCTCAGCCCCATCAGCTCCTTGGCCTGGCTCTCACTCTGGCAGGCAGAAGGTGAGGAAATGCCCATTTGGCTGAACTGGGTGCTCAGGTGTTTGGAAACTGCAGCTGGGCTGGAAATGCTTTTGCTCCTGATGACAGTAAGAATATTTATGCACTGCTGTTACAGGTGGCATCCGAAATGGATCGTATGACATTGGCTTGGCCTGTGGGTAAGGAAGTATTTTCATAGTGCTTGCTTAGGCTTCCTGAAGGTAACACTGTCCCTGTGCAATAGCCTGCCATAATTAGCTTTTTAGCTAATCTCCAATTAACTAGCCTCTTGAAAGACCAGCAGCTCTCTTGGATGAAGAAATTAATATCCTATGTGTGCTAATGAGTGTTCTGCAGACTTACAGGATCTGTTCTGTACTTCAGTCCTATTATCACAAGCAGTGTTTATTTTTTGGAGGATTATGTAAACATTAGGTTGGTTTTGGGGAAATGCTAGTGACCACATACACATTGACTTCAGAAGAAGGAGTGAAAAAAACTATTCAGTAATCCTGAGGCTAAAATACCGGGTTTCTCTTTTTTTATAGCTTGATGACTCTAATATTTCATTAATTATTCCTGCACACAGTAATGTCCACCAAGATGTTGTGCTTAAAGGGACTGATGGCCTTTGCACCCCCGGGTGTGCCAGACACTGGGTTTTGTTGTGGGAAGCTGTCTGGCCTCTGCCCTGCAGGGTCCTCCATGAAGACATGCAATCCATAAGTTACAACTAGCTTTGGGGAGCTGAGTTTATCCCAAGTTTCACTCTTACAAAAGAGTGGAGGAACCCTGGATGAAAACACAAAAGACAATAGCTGAGATTTCTCTTACTTAAAACACAGTCCTGTGCCTTCCTTGAGGAGTAGATGGAGCTCAAGTCAGTGATGGAGTGTCCCACCTTAGAGCTAGTTTAAATTGCTTATAGCACTTACTATTAGCTGCCTTACTTTCTGCTTGCCTTTCATTTTCCAGGAGTAGTTTCTTTGTTATTAATTCTTCATGAAGGTGTTTGTGTGGTGCAGAATAGAATTCAAACCTTCTTCCCATTTGTAGGCTTCATAAACTAGATTGACCTTATAAAGCCTTCCAAGTCTTAAGTGATGGCTTTGTATTTCTGCAGTAAATTTGAGTATCTTCAATGTGTTAATGAATTTGTGGGTCAAAGATTGCACCCTGTGGGATCCATGTCTGAAATCCTTTGTATTGCAAAACACAAATGGTGCAACTCACTGAAATCTTTGCCATGATTTGCTCAATACTTCTTTTTCTACTGCCAACCTGTTCTTAAGATCTGAGTGATATTTTTTATGTCTGTTAACAATCTCACTGAAGACTCCAGCCCTTGAACCTCATTATGTTTGAGAACAAATGTGCCAGAATCATAGCAATTCCTTCCTAGCTGTAGAAACACAAGAAATTAACTGGTGACATTGGTATCCTGTTCTAGTAAAGCCAGAACCAATTGAATCTCACAATCTGTTTTCATTTCATGATAATTCTTAAATTGATGATTAAAGAGCTTCTGCCTCAGCCAGTTCCTAATTAGCAGCTGTGTTTCTGATAATAGAAAAGCATGTTGTCAGGATACTGAGTTTTGATCAGTCTTAATGGAGCAATTCAAATTTTTCTTATGTTTAGTGTGGAAACAATGTCCCTCAGAAGTGCAAATAACCCTGGTGATATCAGTTCCAACATGATGGATAACCCCAAAGCTCGAGATTGCCTTATTCCTATGGGGTAAGTGTTTCCCCTTCCCACAGTTTAAGGGTTTTATAGCTGCTCTGTCTCGTCATTGACCATAGTTGCAAATCAGTCTGAATGTGGTGAGCTTGGAGCCGTGTGTGTTGGCATCCTTGGTTGTGGTGGAAGATTAATGATGTAAAATGAGGGGAAATCACCAACTCTAATCAAAGGTTTTCTTGTCTTAAGATCAGTGGCTTGTTGAGCAAGGACATCAGATTTGAACCTTGTTCTGGTGCTAGATTTGATTCAAAATTAGCTTTTGCCAGCAGTTCTAAGTTGAGAATGCAGCAGTTGGCTTTCAAACTAAAGCCATTGCTTGTACCTCGTGTTATCTTTGTAGAAGCCAAGTGCAGCTCCATTAGATGTGTAATTTGATTAACTCTGTGATGTTTTTTCCCCAGAATAACGTCAGAAAACGTGGCAGAGAAGTTTGGAGTTTCCCGGAAGAAGCAAGATGCCTTTGCTTTGGCTTCCCAACAAAAGTAAATGCTTTTTTTGCTAGTCTGCTTGGGTTTTTTAACCTTTTAGTTAAGAAATAAGTACAGCTAGAAAACACAGTGCTACTTCCTGGTGAAGTACAGCCTTTGTGTTGCCTTCTGGTCCTTAATAGGGAGCAAAGAAGCTTGAGGGTGTCTGACCAAAATTCAGTGCCTGTGCAGGGTTGTGTGTGATGAGGGAACTGGAGTCCAGAGCTGTACTGGCATTGTGTGACTGACCTCACACAAGTATCACACAGATGCTGAACAGTGAGTGCTCTGCTTGTTTCAGCATCCAAAGGTCCCTGCCTATGGCAGTGGGAGTGGAACTGGACAATCTTTAAGGTCCCTTTCAACCCAAACCATTCTGTGTTTCTATGACAGACCCTCAGGGACGTTTCTGTAACAAGTGTGTGGTGAGGTATTTTCATAGTGGCTTTGGCTCAGCAGCACTGGAACCTGAACATGGGAGCCTTTCCCATGAAGGAATAGTTGAGTGTGGCTGTTCACAGAGAACTGCTGAGCTTGTGAGAAGAGTGGCTTGTCCTCACTGCAGCTGCTTGGCTCTGAGTGAGTCCAGTCCTACCTCTGATCACCTTCCTCTTGGCTTAAATCACTGCCAAAGTCAACTGACCCCAGAATCCATGGGGCTGTACTGGCAGAGCAGTGGCAGGTGATAAAGTTTCTGCCTTCAAAGAGTTAAACTTGCTTTCAGAGCTCTGTTTAAGCATCAGCTTGGTCCAGTTATTTATCTAACACAGGAAGCCACTGCACAGGGTAGTTAACCTTTAAATTCCGGCCCTGCTGCTCAGGGAACTTGGCATGCCAGCCTTTCTCACTGCCATGGAACAGATAACCAAAAGGGTATGTGAATGTGATCCTCACACTCACATGAGGAAAGGGGTGACTTTCTGGCCTTGGTCTCAGGATGTCTGTGGAGTTACTGACCTGTCCTTTACCACTTTGCTCCAATTCCCACTTACCTGGGAGCATTGAATATTTTAATTTTATTGGTAAAAGTGCAAAGTGATGAAACAAGCTTTTAGTGTCCAATTTGTATTCTTTGTGAAGGATTCACCTCTGGAAGGTAAATATAAATAAGCTCTGCTTTGAAGGCTTTTAAAATATCTTGTTGATAGGTTAAATCTACATGACTTGAGTTAATTCTGGTTTAGTTAATTGTATTCTGCCTGGGCATGACAGTTGTTGAGTGCTGCTAGTTCAGGGTTCATGTATTCTCTTACAATTGTGATGTGGCTGTACTCCTGGACAAATAAAACTTCATGCTGGGGGCTGGGAGTGGTCAGTTAGGCACAGAGGTGTTGATGGGAACAGAATGGGGATCTTGCTCTGAAATGAGTGGTCCTGTTACCCAGATTTGGGGACAATGCCCATAATGTTGATGCAGAGATGAAAAGGTTGTCTTCCCATGAATAGAAATAAGAATTTGCCTGTTATCTTGACCACCACTCAGTGATGAAGTACCAAATCCTACCTTAGTTCATTCTCTGCTTTTCTTCACTTTAGTTCTCCTGCAGTTCACCTTCAAAATATTTTAACCCTTCATATTCTTTTTTATACCAGAGCAGCAAAAGCCCAGCAGATGGGACTGTTTAAAACTGAGATTGTTCCAGTGAAGACCACTGTTGCAGATGCTGAGGGCAACAAAAAAACAATCATTGTGCAGCAAGATGAAGGGATCAGGCCCTCCACGACACTGGAAGGTTTGGCAAAGCTGAAACCTGCCTTCAAAGAGGATGGAAGCACTACAGCAGGTCAGCTGTTACGTTTGTGCTGTTCCTCTGGTTTACCTCCCTGTCCTAGAACAAAAAGCATGCTAATGGATCTCTTCCAACAGGGAATGCCAGCCAGGTCAGCGATGGAGCAGCTGCTGTTCTCCTGGCAAAACGCTCCAAGGCAGCGCAGCTGGGACTGCCGGTGCTGGGGGTGCTGAGATCCTTTGCTGTGGTGGGGGTCCCACCTGATGTGATGGGCATAGGGCCAGCCTATGCCATCCCTGTTGCTGTGGAAAAGGCAGGTGAGAACCACCTGTCATTCAGGCAGTGCTGGGCACAAGCAAGTCAGACTCCTTGGGCTATGATTTAAGGTTATATTATTCAAGCATGTGCAGCTGTTGGCCCCAGGAACAGTGAAATTAAATCTGAAACCTTAAAAGAGGTCCTGTTTCAGATTGGTGCAACATTTTCCCCTTGTACTGGTGTGTAAATTGTTGTTCACTCACCTTTGAGAAACTCAGGAGTAAATCCCTGCACAGGCTCAACAAGAGTTGACATGTGACAAGTGTTCACTTAGTGCTGTTTTCCCTTCTTTATTATGACCAATGTGTAGGGGGTGGTTTTGTTTGGTTTTTGATGTTTTTTTCTTTACAATTTTGCCATCTTACTTAGGTTTTTTACCACATTCATTGGGTTAAACAGCTTTTGTAGCTGATGAGCTGATTTAGCCTGGCCTGGCTGTGGTCACATGCCTGCCTGTAGCTTTTATCTTTTACTCTCCAAATACCCTTCAATCCTTAATCCCTCTGCAGAGAAATCACACTTAATCTGAGGAAACTTGGCAGACTCAGTGACACAATACCATGAACTGTGATGTTTTGCAATCTTTAGGCACTGCTGTACATAAACTTGTTCAAGTGTAAATACCCCACGTGGAGCTGAGGTTCCTCTTTTTTAGATGGAGGAGAACTGGAATTCACAGAGGGAGGCTGTCAGGCAATTACTCTTTGATACAGTTATGAGGCAAAATTACCTCCTTTTAACTGCTGACTTTTCTGGCCCATAGGTCTAACTTTGAATGACATTGATATATATGAAATTAATGAAGCCTTTGCAAGTCAGGTGAGTGAGGATCATGTTTGTGTTGCTGCATTGCTTGGCAACTGAGTGTATTTCAGCTTGGTCTTCAGGTTAAGATTTTTAACTTGTTCCACATATTACATCTTCAGCCAAATGTTAATAACATGTGCAGACTGTTTTCTGTTTTCCTTTTCCTTCAAATAAAAATGAGCAGGGCATTGCTTATACAGCTTAATATTAGAAAAAGTCCACTAAGAAACAATTAGCTATTGTCCTCTCATACCAACTTGCAACATCTGTTTCACCAGGGATTTATTGTCAGGTTGTCTGTCTGAATGTGTGTGGGCTCAGTTTGAGATGAAGTGGATGGTTTTAGCTCACTTCTGTGCCTTGTTGCACTCCATTCTCCTGAGAATGATGGTCTAGCTGGAGTCAGGCTTCTGACCTGGAAGAGGAGAGCTGAGAACTAAGGAAGATAAGAGCATCTCCATGAAATCATTCCCTGTGTCTTTCCAGGCTGTGTACTGTGTTGAAAAGCTGGGCATTCCCATGGAGAAGGTGAACCCCCTGGGTGGAGCCATAGCACTGGGACACCCCCTGGGCTGTACTGGTGCTCGGCAGGTCGTCACTTTGCTCAATGAACTGAAGCGCAGAGGGAAGAGGTGAGTGCTGAGCCATCAGCATTGGCCTCGCACCTGCCGGGTGTGCACTCCCCCAGGCTCGGGGATGAGCAGTTTGGGTTAAGCTTTCTCCATCCTTTGGATGAGGTAACTGTCCCTTTGGGTTAAATTTGTCCATTGCATGGATGGCTTTGAACTTGAACCCAAGTGAAACAGGAGAGCAGTAGAAAGCTCAAATTTATTGTATTCTTGTTTTTTTTCCCCTGGATGATGTAAACCTAAGTTGTCTTTTTCCTTAATTCCACGTGTTCTTTATTTCAGAGCATACGGAGTGGTGTCCATGTGCATTGGAACTGGCATGGGTGCTGCAGCCGTGTTTGAGTACCCCGGGAACTGAGCTCCACACAACACCACCACAGCTCCCTCTGCCTTCCCTAGGCAAAGCAAGTGATTGCCACTGAAATCAAGTGGGTTCTGGGATTTGTTACTAGATCTACAAATTTTAGGCAGAAATTGTGAAGTAGAATTAAAGGTGCAGCTCTGTGAAGGTGAGGAAATGTAAAACTGGCATATGGCTTCCTGACAGAAGAAATTAGCTCAGCTGAAATTCAACTACAGGCCCTGGTGTGGTGATTAAGAATGAATATTTTTAATTTAATCTCTTTATTCTGTGAATGTTACCAGAGCGAAACAGTTCATGGGACAGTATTTTTGTATGACAAATTGGCAAAAAGAGTCACTCAAAATGAAGACATCATGTCCACATGTAAAGACTTTTCCAGTATTTCCTTAAAAGATTTCATCATTTTGTAACAAGTTTAAAAGAGCTTGTTTTGAAGCAAAGACTTTGACATCCTTGCCTTTACTTAGAACTGTGTCTGTCCTAACCCAGCTAGAAGTTGTCTGTGTCTTAAATTGTCCCTACACTGTAGCTTGCTGCTGGTGGAGCTGCTCTGAAGCCTCCAGTGGGGGAAAATGGAAGGACTGGAACATAATTTCCACAGGAAATGCCTGAATGGAAAGGTTCTGTTCAGTTGCTAGAAGCCAGGATTTGGATGTGGCCATTCCTTCTTTAACAATGTGAGTTATCAGTTTGTGTGACTCCAAGGACAATCTTGTGTTTAATCATATTTACTTACCTAATATAAAGCAAATTGCAGCATTACATTTACTGCAAGCACTACATGAAGATCAGTCTTAGGTCAGTCCTGCAGTGCTAATACAAACATGTTCCATCTTGTGTCTTTCATAATCCCTTATTTCTTCTCTTGTCTGAACAGGAAGATCACTGAAACTCAGATTGAAAAAGAAATGTACTCATTGCTGCTTTAAATTTGTAACAAACTGAAGTTCTTTGTCCTGACTTTTGTTTTTGCACTTAACAATACAATTGGGTTCTTGCAATACATTTGTTTCCTTTTTATGATGATTTTTAGTTGAAGGTCATGATGAGTTAGAGCTCTTTGATATTTTCACAATCCCATGCTGTAGCCTGTCTCACCCAGCAATCACACAGGCGTGTGTTAGAGCCAAAAATTGAATTATTTAGAGGGGATAATGAGCCATTAGCAAAAGCCTTTTATTTAATGGGAGTGGAAAAATTTAACAGACTCAGAAGAGGGAATTCCAGTGACCTTTAGCTAAAATAATACTAAAATAATTTAAAGAGAAGTGAGAGTAAATGGGAACCATGTGGGGGGAAAGAATGAAAAGGAAGAAGGGTTCCTCCCTCTGTTGCTAATGGGGATGTTCTCAAGGCCCAAGCATGATGAAACACACAGGTTGGTAATTTTCCAAGGAGACCAGGGAAAATTGGCTCTTCCCCTTTTCATGTAAGGCGCTGAGAAAACAGCCTGGGGACTGCTGGACTATTCACCAATTCTTGCTTTTATTAAGTGTCAATGTCCATTTTAATGTCAAACAAATAAATGAGGCAAAACAAAAGCTGCTTTAAGGTATGAATAGTCTTCATCTGTAATGCAAGGCATGCTGGGCTCTGCAGAGGGCTTTGGCCTGACTTACACAGCTGCTTTGCTATTTAAAACTTTGTTCTGTGCCTAAAGCTAAGCTTATCACAGCAATAAAAGTATCAGTACAGAATGGGACTACAACTGGTGAAGGTACCATGAGAATTTCTTTCCTCATAACCTAAATTTTCATTCTGCTAAAATTGCAGTCCCCACTAAAACAACAGTAGATGAAAATAAAGGCATCCAACCTGTTACCTTGACATTTGTCCTGCATTGTCCTGCTTAATGCACCTTCCTGCAATGAACTCCTTGCCCTCTGAGGTACAGCCTGCAAGGCTTCTCTTCCAGCATTCCAGAAATGATCACAATAGCTTCATAGTCAGTTTTGCTCCTAAAATGCACAGCAAAAGGTTCAGTTAGAGCTACATGCAGTCCTGTGTTTAGGGATGAGATGAAAAGGGGAGAATGGTGTCCTAAGAATGGCTCCAAGTCACAAGCACAGGTCACTAATGTTAGTGCCAAGTCCCTAGGGTTGTGTTCCATGGGTAGAAATTACTTGGTGTTTGAAAAGAATGTTCAGGTCTGTGCTTGAAGACATTGGATTCATGTTTGAAAGAATGAGAATATCATCCTACTTGTGAAATTCTGTTTTAGATGAATAAATGAAATGAAGCTCTGCTGTGAGCAAACACCTGCACTGCCTTGATGTGAAAACTGCTCCCTGCAACAAAGTTTGAAAGGAAAAGTTTCTGTCACTCCTCTGAGACAAGGGGCAGGTAGTGGAGTCCAAATTGTAAATTAACATCAAAAAGGTTTACAACAACTCTAGTTTTGCACCAAGTTGAAGAGCATAACTTGCCCAAGGCTAATGCCACTCAGTGCTCCTGAGACTGTTCCTGTGAAGGACTTCTCTGTGTCCAAGTGCCAGCTGTTGTAAGAGCCTGAGGCAAATGCCTGTTCTGCCAGACAGTGTTTGTTTTTTCCTTCTCATAAAACAATTCCCCTGCAGAAAGACCACTAATTATTAAAATAACAGCACACTTTGCATATAATTATCTCCTAATGCCACATTGATCCCACACTCTGCTGTGTTGGGAATTCTTCCTATGGAGCCCCACAGATGAGCTGGCTGCAATACAGCAACATCTTTGCTTTCTGGTATTTCCAGGCATTTTCAGATTAGCGTATTTGTCAGACAGAAAGAAGTGCTTCAGGCACATTCAGCAGAATTCCAGAAAAATTATGACAGTCAGGAGGCTGGGGAGGCTTCTGGTCCACCATGCTCCTCTAAATAGGGACAGTTAAGTGCAGCTGCTCAAGGCTCCATCCCACTGCAATATCAGTAACTTCAGTGATGGAAATCACTGGATTGTGTTCCAAGGAGATGGAAGTTGTAACAATAATTCACCTACAGTTTGTTTGAAATTTCCCTGTCATCAGTTTTCAGAGCTCACTGAAATCACTGAGACAGACTTATTTTAACTTCCTGCCACCATGTGATAACCTCCAAAAATAGTTCATAACGGAAAATGATTTTTTTTTTTTTTACAGGAGTTGTATGTCTTTAATCAGAACAAAGAAATTAAAGTCTTTGGGTTATCATAGAATCATGGAATGTTTTGGGTTGGAAGAGACAGCAAAGCTTCTTGTTCCAAGCTCCTGCCCTGTGCAGGGAAGCCTTCCATTAGAAGGTTCTTCAAAGCTTCATCCAGCCTGGCATTAAAACAATTCCAGAGATGGGGCAGCCACAGCTTCTCTGGACAACCCGTGCCAAGGCCTCACAATGTAGAAGTTCTTTCTAATTTAACCCCACCCTCTGGCAGTGTGAAGCCCTTGCCTCTTGTCCTATCACTCCAGGCCTTTGTTCCAAGTCCCTCTCCAGCTATCCTGGAGCCACTTTAAGCACTGGAAGGGACTCTGAGGCTCCCCACAGAGCCTTCTTTTCTCCAGGCTGAACAACCCCAGCTTTCTGTGAACAGCACAAGTTCAGTTCTGTTAACTGTACCTTGCAGTAAAGCTGATCTGCAGAATCTCTCTAGTAGGTGCCTCCCCTTCTCGTGCCTTCAAAACGCCTTTAGTTGGGAAGATGGAAAATACTTCCATGTCCTTAGGCCTTTTCTGTTCATCTGCAGTGGAAGGGGAAAATATCAAACAAAGCCATACAAGACCCTTTGTGTAAGTGTGTGCAGCAAGTAGTACTCATGGCAATGCACCTCTTTGCTGAGCAACTAATAAATAATGTCTCACACTGTCAGAGGGTTTCTGTGCATGTGCCCAGACTCTATTTTCATCCTCCAATCAAGGACAGTGATCAGTGGTCTCCACCTTGAAATAATAAGGCCCTGATCCTCTGGAGCCCATCTGTTATTAACAGCATTAGGCTCATGCTCAAACTGAACCCATGAGGAGCCACTGGTTCTTGTTGCCTTTCAGGACTGATTTATAAATGAGCAGAGCATGTCCCAAGAATTGTGAGGGCTGATACTCAATATTTTGGTTAGATCTGGAGTAACTGCTGAAATCAGTACTGTATCAATATCAGTACAATAATGTCAAAAAAGGGAGAGGAAAAGCCCACATTAGCCCACAAAAGCAGACCACAGATGTTTACACCCAAGATCATCACATATTGGCCCTATATTGACTGCATGCAGTCTTAATAAAAACACTGAATAGTGAAACTCTGTAACAAGGAAATCGATTGCAAAACCAGAATACCCAGCAAAGCAGTCCAGTAGCTTCTGCAGCCACTCCAGTTATACAGGAAGACGTGTTCTGTCTTGGTCTGTGCAACAAAGCAGGTCTGGAAATCAACCATGTCACAGGAGAGCTCCAGGACTGGAACAGTCAGGTAGGCAGTCACTGGGACCAGCTGCAAAACAGGGGAAAGGGAAAAGAGAACAAAACTCATTTTTATGGAGCTTTAGTAATTCCTCCTCCAGCAGGATCATTCTTAACCCCAACCACTGAATCAAGGATCACTGTTTTGTGTTCTTTCACAAAAGAGTAAATTCCTATTCTACAGCCTTGAGTGAATAAAGTTGTTGCTTGTGTGTTATTTTTTGGGACAGGTTTTCAGACCAGACACTGTGGTCTTAATGAAGTAACACGGAGTGAACGTTCTCATTTGTTTTTAGGGTTTTCTGTGAAGCTGCAGACATTACAGCATCTCCTGGTCCCTCAGGACTGTATATGGCCCACTGTGAGTCATTCAGTTTGTGCAGATTGCCCAAGATTATGATTCAGTTGACTGTAACTTAGATATGGTGCTCAGTGTCACACAGGTCATGCCTCAGAAATACCTGGTATGAAAGAAAATAGAAGTGCCTGCAGTGTACTGGGATGCTGAAGGCTGGGAAGGGGGTTACAGATTTCTGACTGGAAGGGATCAGTCTTTAAATGCACATGGGCTTTGACCACACTGCAGGAGCTCAATGGACTCAGGAGCCTTTTCAGAAGCCCTTGGGTGCTGCACGATGCAGTGCCTGGTGACTCAGGCATGGCTTGCTCCCTGGGACAGCCCTGACCCCTGTCTCAGAGTCATCCTGTGACCGGGTGTGTGGCCCTTTGAGTGTCACCTGGCCTGCCATGCAGAGAGCTGGGGTACCAGCACCAGGGTGTGACCCCAACCTGCACAGCCCACCTGGGAGTCACCTTTAATCTCTGCAGAGAGCAACCTCAAAGCCATTTTCTTTACGTGGATGACCTCATTTAGTCTAGAGGTGCCTGCAATTCAAGGCTGAGTAAATCCTAACCAGAGTCAGAGATGCTGCTGAAACAGCCCTTTCCCAGGGCTCAGAGATCCTGTCCTGACCTTACCTGGGTAGTGGAGTTACTGTGCTCAATGACCAGATTTTGATTAAACTTCAATTTTCTCTCTCCACTCTCCAGCTGGAGCACTTGGCATCCAGGAAGCAGCTGGGTCTCTGGCAAGTGTTGATACCTAAGTAACTTCTGAGTTGTATGGAATGACACTTTCACCTGTGGGAAGAGGAATTCCCATGAACTATCACATAAGACAACACTGTGTGCAGGAAATCCAAAGTACACATTGCACAAAGGCCCAGACACACATTTTCCCACTGGAGCCCAAAGGTGTCATGCCAGCAGCCAAATTCCCACTAGAACAAAGCAATACAATTAAAGAAAGAAACACAGCTATTTCCTATGAATCTAGTAGAGGGAGATGGATTGTAAAGGTGAAAGCTGATCTCTGAACCATGGGGAGAAACAGTCTCTAGCAAGCTAAAAGTTTTCAGTTCCTGAGGGCACAAATCCATGTTCCCACAGCTGTCTTAGACATGTAAATCCTCTCTCTTCCCACACATGCAGAATTGAGATGTGTGTGTCTCCATGTCAAAATGAACACAGCAAAATGAGAAGCACGCTTCAAAAATGCAATAGTTACTCATTCTTTGCAGCTTACCTAATTCTCCAC